CCTATTCGCTCACGAGGAGGCGGCGCCACTTTATTTGCATATTCATGAGCTTATTTATTATTCATGAGCTTTCCCGAGCCCCCCCAATATTTTTTATAAGTCCGCGTCCCTGACTTGCACTGGCATGCTTTCGAACTGCTAGGTTGGCAGGAGCAGGGACCGAGCAAGGGGAGCTCACCCCGTCGTGGGGATTCGAACCGCCGACCTTCTGATCAGCAAGTCCTAGGCTCTGTGGTTTAACCCACAGCACCACCCGCGTCCTATAAATTTGTCTAATCCTCCAAGCTAGTGGCCACCAATTGTCAGGGACTGGGGAGAGGAGGAATGGTGGAGACCGCCTCCCCAGCCTGACCCTTCCCTTCCAGAGAAGAAGAAGACAGTTCAGAATTGCAACAGGGGTTTGAGGGAGGTCACAGCTCAGAGGAAGATGAGGGGAGATGTTGGGAAATAATGGGAGAGGAGGATGAGGCAGAGCCGGAGCAGCTGATTGGCATGTTGTGAGCTGAGGACCCGCCACCCGCATAGGATTATAATAAGAAACAAAGACACATTATTTTAGGTTAATGGGCAAAATTAGGCCACAGCTTTATTGGTTACAGCATGTGAGTGGTATTGGCTTAGGCATTGGATAAAACAGCAATACATGACTCTACCCCGCTCAGCGGGGAGTCATTTCAGGGGTTAACAACCAGTGGGAGGAGCTTGTTGATGCAAATACAACTGGAAGCTTCCCCACGACATCACCGGGGGTCATGCCATGGCCCTAGCCACCAGCAGGGCATCAGACACGATCCACAACTGCCAGGTTCCTTTAGCGGAATACCCAAAAGAGGAGGGGTAGATGATGGCCCATACCCAATCCTCCAACACAGCACACATATTCCAATGCCTAACCTCCACTACCAAAAAGTTGTGATGAATTGCTACGAGGTAGGCAAAAAACCCCAAGAGGCTGATGCCAATTTGCCAAATAAAAAAGTCCTAACAGGTCCCTTGGGCAACCAAGGCAACCAACCGAAGTTCATAGCAAGGTCGATATGCAGAAGAAGCTGACCTAAAAGGGAGGGAGAGTGGGAGATCTGATTCAAGCAAGAACTGACTGGAGTCAGAGCGTTGCCACGGCTGCTTAAATGCAGCTAAACCCCGCCCACCAGCCAGCCTTATTGGCCGGCTGAAATGCTTGGCCGCGGCAACAGAGGCAATCAGAGGCAGGAAGCCGAATACGCCTCCCTGCTGCTGTGGGAAGCTCCTCCCACTCACAACTCCTCCCCTCTGGAAGGAGGAGAGGTCTTATCACTATAAAGCATTCCAGACCCATCATCTCCCAGAACCCGGCGAGCAAAGGGCTCAGAAGCAAAGGGGTCTCAGCGCCACCCGTAGAAGGGATGATGAATGAGAAAGTGAGAGAGAAGGGGAGGGGAGATTTACCCAGAGCAACGCTATTATTCCAAGAGGCTTCATTTCTAAGCCTCCCTCTGTAAATATTGAATAAAACGCAGTTGGTGAGAACTTTCCCTTGCCTTGTCCATTCCTGGTAATCTGCCACAGGGGCTGGTTCCTCTGCTTCCCGACACCAATGATCCTTGTGGGATATCCACAATTTCTAATGTTATGGGAGAGGGGTAAAAACTTTTCTCTATCCTCTTAATTCATGCCATATGTGATTTTACACACATCTCTTATGTCACCTCTTATTCTTTTTTTTGCTGTAAACTATAAATTCCAAAATCCTGTAACCTTTCTTCCCCCTGATCATTTTTGTTGCTCCTTTTGGAACCTTTTCAAATTCTGCAATATCCTTTTCGAGGCCAGAAATTCACTCCAAATGTAGTTACACTGTAGATTTGCGTAACGACATTATGAGATTAGCAGTTTTATTTTCAATTCCTTTCCTAGCATGGAATTTGAGCTATTTTGTGGTCACAGTGGAGCGATATCTTCATCGAGCTATTCCGCTACAGCCCCAAGGTCTCATTCCTGGCCACTCACCACCACTTCAGAGCCCTGGAGTATGAATGTGAATTTCATAATTTATTGACCCCTAGCACTGTTGGTTAAATCACAGAGCCTAGGACTTGCCGATCAGAAGGTCGGCGGTTCGAATCCCAGCGACAGGGTGAGCTCGGTCCCTGCTCCTGCCAACCTAGCAGTTCGAAAGCACGTCAAAGTGCAAGTAGATAAATAGGTACCGCTCCGGCGGAAAGGTAAACGGCATTTCCGTGCGCTGCTCTGGTTCTCCAGAAGCGGTTTAGTCATGCTGGCCCCATGACCCGGAAGCTGTACACCGGCTCCCTCGGCCAATAAAGCAAGATGAGTGCCGCAACCCCAGAGTCAGTCACGACTGGACCTAATGATCAGGGGTCCCTTTACCCTTTACCTTTATGAGCATCACTTTACTCTTGTTTGTGTTTAATTGCATTTGCCATTTTACTGCCCAGTCACTCAGTTTGGAGATGCCCTTTTGCAACTCTTCTTAATCCATTTTTTTTAATGACCCTGAGCAGTTTAGTATGATCATCAAACTTGGCTGCGTCCCTGTTCACCCCTAACTCTAGATCATTTATGAACACGTTAAAAAGCACAGGTCTCAATACCAATCCTTGGGGGATGCCAGTGTCTACACTTCTTCATTCAGAGAACTGTCCATTCCACCTCCCTTTTTGCTTCTTGCCACAATTCCTGATCCACAAGATGATCTCTCCTCCTATTCCAAGACTGCCAAGCTCACTGAGGAGTCTTTGGCAAGGAAAGCTTTTTGAAAGTCCGAATTCACAATTTTATCTGTCTTACCAATACCCTCTGGAGCACAAATTGTCATGAATTCACACTGAAAAGGACGCCTGGAGGGGGCCCCCAGACTAGTAAACCTCTGCCACGTTCCCCAAGTAAGAACAAAGCTGATGGAGGATTTTCCACTGTTGGGTTCACTGAACTCTCCCAACAGAAGTTCCATTGATTTTCCTAGTGAAACCCAAAGGGTCTTTAGTGAAGCAGTTTTTCCCCTCTTTTCTGAAAGAGAACCATTGTGCCGATTGCTGGCAATGCTGATGGGCTTTTGCCCTGTTTTTGAACTGTGGAAGCTGTCCCATCGCCAGGGCTTGGCAATGCTTTTCTGTAGATGTTCTAACTGGGGTTCCTGAGTGGGGAGAGTCCAGACCTGATCCCTGAGATTGTATGGAGATGGGAATGGCCCAACCAGATGGTCACTTCCCCCTGGCTCCATGAAGCCTCGTCAAATATATTAATCAGGATCTGTCCATGGTAAGCAAAATTTAGATAAGCATTTGCAAGCTGGATGGAATAGAGGCATTTCTCTATTGCACACTGCTTGTGGCATGTGTGCACTATGCAGAGGTATGGATTTGAATGCGCATGATCCATGCAAATCCAGCATAAAAAGTGTGCTGCTGAATCAAAAACAAAGTTCTGCCTCCTCTATTTGTTATTTAGTTATTTCATAAAATTTATACACTACTTGATTGTTAAAAACCTCAAAGTAGGTCGCAAAAGTGCACTTGCTTCTGCTGCGCACAACTGGGTGCAGACCTTGCCTTCCAAAGCCTGCTCACCTCTTGACCCCATGCAAGAAGTTTCTATGAAGGCCTGCCCCCTCAAAAAAATTTATTGTGGGGGCAAAGGGCCTTGGGCCCCATATCACTGGTGCCTATGATACACAGCAAGCGAGGGTAGCGCATAGGGGAGGAAAAGTTGGGAAATACAGAGGTACCTCGGGTTAAGTACTTAATTCGTTCCAGAGGTCCATACTTAACCTGAAACTGTTCTTAACCTGAAGCACCACTTTAGCTAATGGGGCCTCCTGCTGCTGCCGCGCTGCCAGAGCACGATTTCTGTTCTCACCCTGAAGCAAAGTTCTTAATCTGAAGCACTATTTCTGGGTTAGCAGAGTCTGTAACCTGAAGCGTATGTAACCTGAGGCACCACTGTACTGTGCGACTAGGAGTTCTTGCACTGGCTTCCGTTAGTGTGCTTGGGTTTGTTTAATCTGGCCTGTGACTGTTGCGTTGTTGAGGGCAAGCCATGGAAATGAACATGTTAGCAAAGAGAAGTGAAAAATTGCCTAAGGTGGGCGAGGAGAGCATTTTCCAGGAAAAGCAAAATGATAGCTAGGGCTGGCTCATTGCTGCTAGGAGGGAGTTATTGCTACAATCTTTATTGTCAGTTAAAAGGGAGAGAGAGAAAGTATTTACCCAAATCGCAATACAGTGGTACCTCGGGCTAAGTACTTAATTTGTTCCGGAGGTCTGTTCTTAACTTGAAACTGTTCTTAACCTGAAGCACCACTTTAGCTAATGGGGCCTCCCGCTGCCGCCGTGCCGCCGCCGCATGATTTCTGAGCTCATCCTGAAGCAAAGTTCTTAACCCGAGGTACTATTTCTGGGTTAGCAGAGTCTGTAACCTGAAACATTTGTAACCTGAAGCATCTGTAACCTAAGGTACCACTGTATAGAGTCATATTGTATTGAACTGATACAGAGGAGTACAGAGGGAGTGGCTCACTAGGGGTTAAAAGACAAAAAAATGGCAAACTTTTTAAAAAACAACAACAAAAAAACCACTAAGCCCCTAAATGAAAACTTTCTTCTGGTTCCCTGCCCCTCCCTCCCTTGTTCTGGGCTCATAGATTCCATAAAACCGTTCAGCTTGGAATGTGTTGGGAATGAGGGAAAGAGGACCTCATGCTGTGAGTCTCAAAAAGAACTTCCAGCTTCCAGCCCCTCTGAGTGTGCAAAAGTTCTGTCTGCCTGGCATCCTTAAAATGCTTGTGAAACAACTGATGGTTTATTGGGAGTATGCAAATGAGACTTTTGTATGTTCTCCCTTCTGCCGAAAGAGGAGAGATGTCCCTTTAAATACACACACACACACCAAACCTGATCTCCTGTGTCTGTCTTTCCTCCCTCCCCCCCCTCTCTCATTTTGGGGAAGGGTCCTACATTTCTTTCTCCCTTTTTCATGGTAATTAGAACAAGAACCTAACACCAGCCAAGGAAGAGTGAGCGCAAACAAGACCCCTATAGGCAGCCTAGTGCATTAATGTAAAATATGCCCAGAGAACATAACTTGTCAGAGAGGATTATTTCTGTTCAGTGAATCTACAGGGGCCCCCTTTGCTCCGCCACTCAGCGTCTGGCGAGAGACAGAAAGAGAGAGAGAGAGAGAGAGAGAGAGAGAGAGAGAGAGAGAGTAGCCATTAGTGGGTAGCTACTGTGGCATTGATGTTTGAGCGCACTTCTGAACCGGCTTTTGTTGCAAATATCGGTGCAGAAAGCATGCGCTGTCCGAAATCCGCTGTTACTATGAGAAGTGAGGACCTTCTTTTAAGGTAGGTTGATGCCTCCTTTGTACAGGCGGGGGCTCTTTGAGGCGGGGGCTTTTTCCCAGTCGCCAGGGCCCATTATGGCTAGGTATCAAGTACTCTTCTCCCGCTCCAATTATTTTTTTTGGGGGGGGGAGGGGAGGATATATTCATATACACCCGGCTTTTCTGCAAGTGGCGTTTCTGTATCACGAACCTCCAGTTGCAAACAGCTTGAAATGCAAAAGCCAACAGGAAGCAATTTCATTTTTTCATTTTTTAAAAAAAGCAATTTTGCCACCCCTACCCATCCCAAACCCAACAGTTTCTTTATGATGCCTCTTCCATTGCATCCTTCATTCATAGGGATTGGGGGGTGGGAAAGGCACGAGGGAAGAGCAATAGGGAGACTCCATATTAGAGCCGATTCCCTAAATGCCACTTAAATTGGTGCTTGGGTTATATAAATAACCTCTTCTAATCACTCCCCTCCTACAGCTCACGCTGACCGCTTGGCGCTTTTCTTGGGAGAGGGGGACAAATAGATAAATGCATATATATTTATAATTGGAAGAAACTCATATTGCATAGATGAATGGATTCTTAGCGTTCTTGGGTGTCATGAAGAGCCAGCCGTTAGCAGAAGCTTTTCAGAGCACGGAAGGGGGGCGGGGAAGGGGAGAGAGCGAGCGCCAGAATTTCTGCTCAGACTGGCACCCTGCTTCTGGGGAGGGGGGGGCGGGGTGTAGTCTTTTGTCTATTTTCCCTAGCAGACATCCGAGCGTGTGAATACATCTTTTTGGCTGACAATGGGACGATAGAACAATAGAGCTGTCAAGCTAGCTTAATGTATGTCTGGGGTTGTAGTTGTGTGTGTTTTGTTATATATAAAAAATGCTATCTCTTTTAAAAAAAACACCCAAAAAACAGCAACAACCCCGTCCCATTTAATTTCCACTAATCTTATTTGTATAGACTGTGAAATGAAGTACACTCCCATTGTTTATCTCTTTAAGGAGAGTGAGTGAGAAAGAGAGAGAGAGAAAAATCCACTATTTCCCTCCAATCCCTTGCATATTATGACTTTGTTTACCAGAACAAAGTTGCAAAGCTATATACCGGCTTCTTTAATTTCAGGGAGGAAACTTACAGATCCTGAATGCTTAATAGGGAAACGTTCTGGTTGGACAAGTGGCTTTTTGTTAGCCTTCCTCAAACTCTTATCTTATTTTGGATCATTTCCACTTGCTCCACAGTTTCACAGAGATGCTACTTAAATTTTAGTCTTGGGAATAACAATAAAAAAATCCAGCTGTTCTAACATATGTCAGAATTTCTGAAGACATAACAAATAGCAAACACTCCACTTCCTCTAGTGCCTGTCTTGAAGAGAAGAAAAAACCCACTCAGGGTTGCAAGGTTGTAAAAGATGATTTCTAAAAATTAAAACCTAGGAATGCGTTCTCTCATCTGCAAAATGGGACTGGGTGTCGGTGTTATTAACCATGAGATCCACGTGTGAATAACGCTATTTTGAAATAATAAAAAGTTAGCTCATTTCATGGCAGTTGGAGGAATGGTTTTGCTTTGCATTTTTAACCTTCACGGTAAAGAGTTTCTTCCGAAGGTTTGTTTATGTTCACAGTAGCGTGAACTAGCGTTTGAATTGGGTTGAATTGTCTGTTTCGATCAGTACATTCGTGGGAGGTGAATGGGAATAATTTGTGGCAGCTCTCAAGCAAATCTGCCAAATCCGACACACAAACATTGTAGGGTTAAGGGGAGTCAGTTGTTTATATTTTATTTACTGCGTCAGGAAGTGCATTCAGGATTTCAGCTCAAGATTATGATCACTGCGAGTGGGAATTGGCGCTGTTCGTTTCAAGAATAACGTAAAGATGGGTGTTACAGTTTTGTGTCACCTATGTGAGGTGGCCGCTGGAAACCTGCTTGCTCTCTAAATGCATCTGGCAACGTGGGTGTGATGTAAAAGCAAGAGATACTTGTTTATGTTGTGAAGCAAATGATGGATGCCACTGAGGTGTGGTGTTCTCCCCAAACTTTATTGTAATAAAAGAGGAAGGACCGTGTTTAAATATGGAGATACCATAATTTGCAATCAATGGCTCCAATCGAGTTAAAAGTTAATGGGCCAAGTTAATCATAGCTATCTTAAGCTTCGTTGATTGATTTGGATATAACTCTGACACAGCTGACTTCAGCTTGCTTGGCAGTCCTAATGGACATGTTGGTACAGTGGTACCTCAGGTTCCAGACACTTCAGGTTACAGACGCTTCAGGTTACAGACTCTGCTAACCCAGAAATAGTACCTCAGGTTAAGAACTTTGCTTCAGGATGAGAACAGAAATCGTGCAGCAGCGGCAGTGGGAGGCCCCATTAGCTAAAGTGGTACCTCAGGTTAAGAACAGTTTCAGGTTAAGAATGGACCTCTAGAACGAATTAAGTTCTTAACCCGAGGTACCACTGTATTAGCTTCAAGAAAAGTGGATTTTCACTTTAAGGCTCCCAATAGCTGCCTTTCCATTTGCACCCCAAGCAGACATACAACCGGCTCCCAACTTTATTGAATTCAGAAACTGAGATCTGCATCAAACCTGACAGGTTACTGAGGATCAGGCAAGGCATCCTTCTGTACACAGTTGTTCCATTGGCAGCTGGCTCCCTCTCTCCCGCCATCTTGCTTTGCTCATTTATTTATTACGTTTGTGACCAACTCTTCCCCCACAGAGGGGATTAGGGCGGCAAACATCACCATGCTAAAACAGTGTTTTCAAAAAGCAATGCAACCTCAGTTAGCTCATGAAGCTTATACGTCATTCACCCAAGGGCAAGGTGGGCTTATAACCTTGTTCAAGCACCAACCCCACACATGGCCGGCATGCTCGTGTGTTGCAGATCACTACACATCACCAAACCTGTCTCTCTCCCATGTAGGGGAGGGAGGATGCAGGGCCTGCCCCTACTCTGCACACCAGTACCTGCCTTGTGTAAATGGGAGGAAAGTCACTGGGTCATAGAATCATGGCAGAGTTGGAAGAGACTGCCTGCAATGCAGGAATCTTTTGCCCAACGTGAGGCTTGAACCCACGACCCAGAGATTAAGAGTCTCATGCTTTGCCGACTGAGCTATCCCAGAAGATCTCTCCCAATGCTGCAATTCTGTACATATACAACAGAGCAGCTTCTTCCTCTCCCATCCCCCCCAACTCCCTACACACTCCCAAAATCAGGTTGGGGGTCAATTTTGAGGGGCATAGGGAGAGAGGATAGAAAGTCGCCTTTCACCAGTTGAACTACCTGCACAGAACATTGGTGCTTTAGGGTAACTTAAATCTTGGGTAGTTCCATTCTATCCTGGACCCATCAAAGCCAGTTTCTTCAGGTTTTTTCACCCTTTGTTATTTATTTATTTTAACACACACACACACACACACACACACGAGTGTGCAATTTACTGAAATCTCCAAATAACATGAAATGCAGTTGAGCAGACTTCACAGTTTCTAAGGTGTGCTCTGCTGCTGGCTGCTGTTTTGTTCTTGTCCCCTATAACAATTTGGAGTATTGTGAGTATCGAGAGTGCATATCACCATAATTTAAAGAAGGAACAACCTTCTCTGGGTAGATGATGCTCAGGTCGATGTGACATTTGTGCTGTGAAGTCCAGTCCAGCTCCCCTTGGTGCTGAAGCACTGAGCGATCCCCACATTCATTCCTGACAGGTGTATTTCTGCTGAGCTGCCTGGCTATGGGTGTGCGCACACAAACTCTCACACAAAGTAGTTTGTGTGCACTGTGTGGAAATTCAGGTTGTGCCCATGCATATTAGGGCCAGCCTTTGTTTGATTCATCTTATTTCTTCAAGGGTTCTCTTGACGCTATCTGCGCTGCAGAATATTGTTCCTTGGCATGCATTAAAACTAAGCAGCCCATCGCTTACCCTTTTTCTGCTAAAAGCAAAATTGCAAATTGTTCATAGTCTTTGCAGTCATTGAAGCACCCAGTCCTTTAGTTTCGAACATTGAAATGTACCCCATTGTGCTTCAACAGACCTTTTAGTTTTCCCTCAAAGCCATTAATGAATCACTTGACAATAATCTATGGAAGCTATCATCTACCGGTTACTAATGTGGGTTTCGAATCAGATTTTAATTGGTTGTTGTTGGCGGTTTTCAATAGTAACTGTGTTATTCCAGGAGTACCTGTGTGCATATATATGCTGATTACATTAATAATGATAATCTAATGTGAATGTTTCCTACGCCAGCTCCTTTACTCTTATGGATGATGTCTTTCCATTCTAGTGTCGCTTAGCCAAGTGGTGCCCAGAGAGTAATATGTCTCTAACAACCACCATTGCTGCCGCCGCCCACAGGTCTTAACTGGTCGTGCCAGGAGACCTGCCACCATTTGGGCACTGCATCTTTTATTCCACACTGTCCCAGGACAGACCAAGTCTTTAAAAAGCAAGGGGGAAGCTGGGGACTCCTATTTCCTGGAGAAGGGAGGAGGACGGATCTCGTACTGTCACTCCCAGACTGGCAGTGTAGAAACGGGAGGACGTGCAGCTTTTTCCTCCCCCACAACGCATGCAGCAGCCAGCACAACAGGGTGGGGCAGAGTGCTTCAGGGCAGGCCCCAACGTGGATCCGTAGGCGCCAGGGGTCACCTGACTGTGCTCAGCCAGTTCCCAGCTTCGCTCGACTCACGGGGCACAACCAGCAGCAGCTCGCAAGGGCCCTGGGACAGTATTTCCTGCAGGAACACCCTGAGGTCAGATTCACCACCGATTGGAGCCAGACCCTTCAGCTTGGAGTCAAGGTTGTAGTAGGTGCCGTCAAGCTGGCGCACGGCGATCCAGTGGCGGCGCCTCACTGGGAGGGACAGGAAGCCCAGACACACATTGGACGGGATGTTGATGATGAAGCCAAGAACTCCCTCCAGGGAGAGCTGCTCTAGGGGCCTCCGTTTGTCCCACCAGATGGCTTCTAGACCCACACTCTGA